GACCCCCAAGAACCCCCCTAGATCCGCCACTGTTAACTTGCACTTGCCTTTTTGTAACTTTATTTCAGTGAACGACTCACTGAAATTTCAAGCGTTTCAAACAAATTTGATGGGATTTATTTTGTATTTATGGCAGTAAATCGGCAAACGATTGAAAAAACTCTGCAAAGACACATGGGTAATGGGCATTGTCAAATGTTTTTTACAGTCAATGAAAGTATCTTCTTTGGATGTTTACAAAATTCACATAAAACGTTTATAAATTTGAAAAGGATCGCGGTGACGTCAGCGCCAATAAATATGTGCTCATTGGAAGGAATGACCCAGTCCGCGCATGTGCGTATTGACCTGAATCTAATTGGCTTTGCAGCACATCCAGCTTTCTCAATACAGTTCGTTAAAAAATGTATGTTATCAGACCTCTGATGTTATAAATTAGTTATAAATTATGTAAGCAGATTTCTGAAAGTACTGTAAATGTTTTTGTAAATATTTATAAATGTTCACAAAACAAATTCACGACTTAAGGTAGCGGGACTATTATTTGTGTTGAAAATTACGATTTTCACATTTATTTATTAATTGATGAAATGCACTATAAACTTTCATGTGATAAAGTCAACATAACATAAAATGTCATGTAAGTTGGTTAAAATGTAGATTTTCTGAAGGGATCCAAGGCAGCCTCAGTAGTGTTTTCCAAAATCAACAACACAGGTTTAATCTGTGTGCCTATAAGTTTCAAAGATAAACTCATGACAAAGCAATGTTAGGATGTGTTATCAGTAGCTATCTGACACACAATGAGTGTTTCCAAACATTTGAGAGGTTTGCCTCCGCCCCTGTTTGTTTCACAGATTAGTCATTTGCATATGAATGTGTCAGACACAAGGTCACACAGCCACTGAAAAAAAATCATTGATTTTGGTGTTTTCATATGCCGAATTTATCCAATTATAGCTATCCCATTCCTTTATTTTTTTGGTTTCCAATAGCCTTACACATTTGGATGCCCCGATACATGTTAAAACAGACCTTGATGGGGAAACAAA